CAAATCAGCCGGCAGTCACCAGTGAGTGGAGGCCAACAGCTGGTTTGACCACCAGAAGCTTAACAGGAAGATCAGGGAGGGTCACGGCCAGCCAGAACCACCACACCTGAGAGAGAAGAGGTCCAGAGACTGCACTAGTCCAGCCAAATCACAAAACAAACAAGCAAACAGTAAGTCATCCTTCCCCCAGGTGGGGGAATCCGTATCCACAGCTGCTACTATAGTTTACCTAAAATGTCCAACTTGCAGTAACAAAACAAAATGAGTTATACAAAGAAACAGAAGAGGAAAAAAATAAGCAGGACACAAACTGCTTTTGAAGAGGCACAAGTGTTGGACTCAGTAGAAAAAGACTTTAAAACAACTATTATAAATATGTTCAAATAACTAAAGGGATCCATGCATAAAGAATTAAAAGAAAATATGATGACAACAATTGATCACACAGAGATTATCAATAAAGAGACAGAAACTCTAAAAAAAAAAAAAAAACCAAGTGGAAATTCTGATGTTGCAAAGCACAACTGAAATTTTAAAACTCACTATAAGGGCTCAACAATAGATTGAGTTGGCAGAAGAATCAGTGAATTCAAAGAAAGATCAATAAAGATTATGCAACCTAAAGAACAAACAGAAAATAGAATTAAGAAAAAAGAACACAGTCTCAGAGAAAGATGGGATGACAGGAAAGGGCACAGGCACATGCAGAATGGGTGAGCTTGAGGAGAGGAGAGAGGGGAGCAGAAAAAAATATTCAAGGAGATAATGACTTTTGAAAACTTCCCAAATATGATGAAAATATTAATCTACGCACCCAAGAAGCTCAACAAATTGCAAGCCTGATAAAGAGATCCACACCCTGACACATCACAGTCTAAATAATGAATGCCAAAAAACAAAGACAAAATCTAGAAAGTAGCAAGAGAAAAATAATTTATCACTTACAAGGAAACCCCAATAAGATTAACAGCTGACTTCTCATCAGAAACAATGGAGTCCAGAGGGCAGTGGAATAACATATTCAAAGCACTGAAAAGAAAAAAAAATCATCAACTAAGATTCTTATATCTAGTAAAACATTTTTTTAAAAATAAGGGGAAAATAAAGATTCCCAGATAAACAAGAACTGAGAGAATCTGTTGCTAGTAGGCACACCTTACAGAAAACAAGTTTTTCATGCTGAAAACAAGTAACATCAGAAGCAATTCAAATCCACATAAAAAAAGAGTATAAAGACGATGATGTCAGTTATTATAAAAGGTGATATCGGTGCACATTTCTTCTCCTTTCCTCTCTTAGTTGACTTAAAATGTAACTGCATAAAACAATATGCATCGTATTGTTCGGGGGACTTTACCCTAAAGAAATGTAATATAACTGACAATAATATCAATAGCACAAATGAGATGGATGGGATGAAAACTGTATTAGAGAAAGAAAATGATTGTAGATGGCACTCAGTCTCAGAAAGAAATAAAAGGAACTACAAATGGTAAATAAGGTTAATATAATAACTCCATATGTTTGTTCTCCTTTCTTCTCTCAAGTTCTTTTTGTTTGTTTGTTTGTTTTTGAGATGGAGTCTCGCTCTGTCGCCCAGGCTGGAGTGCAGTGGTGTGATCTCGGCTCACTGCAAGCTCCGCCTCCCGGGTTCACGCCATTCTCCTGCCTCAGCCTCCTGAGTAGCTGGGACTACACGTGCCCACCACCACGCCCGGCTAATTTTTTTGTATTTTTTTAATAGAGATGGGGTTTCACCATGTTAGCCAGGATAGTCTCAATCTCCTGACCTCGTGATCCGTCCGCGTCGGCCTCCCAAAGTGCTGGGATTACAGGCGTGAGCCACCGCGCCCAGCCTCAAGTTCTTGAATGACATAAAATGTATATAAAGGAACAATCAGAAAAATATATTGCTAGGTTGTAATATATGTAGACATAATATGTATAATAATCATACCATTTAAAAAGGGAGGAGGAAATTGAACCATGTAGGAGTAAGGTTCCTGTCACTGGAATTAAGTTAGTATAAATTTGAAGTAGATTCTGATAAGTCAAGATGCATGTTGTAAGCCTTCAAGTAACTACTAAGAAAATAATTCAGAAAACATTATTTAAAGAAATTAAAATGTTACATTAGAAAATAATACAAAAGGAAGCTGTAAAGGAGCAACAGCTAAGGGGAAAAGGCAAGGGATATATATACAGAAAACAAAAAGTAAAGCAGCAGATGTAAATCTGAACATATAACATTAAGTGTAAATGAAATAATCAAATCAGAGGGCAGAATTGCCAGAATGGATTTTTTTAAAGATCCATTGTATGTATATGGAAGACTCATTTTAAATTCAAAGATATAAGAAAGTTAAAAGTAAAACAAGGGAAAGAATATATCGAATGGCAACCACAGGAGATGTGCATGTGATGACACTAACATCAGAAGAAACAGACATCAAAACAGAAAATATGCATATACGCCCCTAACAAACAACAAAGCCCCAAAATACATCAGGCAAAAACTGACAGAAGTGAAAAGAGAAAAAGATAATTCAAAAATACTTACGGACTTCCATACCTACATTTAGTAATGGACATAACAACTACACAGAACAATAATAAAGAAATTGTAGACTTGACCTAACAGACAACCCTCCACCTTCACCCAACCACAGCAAAACGGACATCAAATACTCTCCAAGATAGATCATATGCTATGCCGTAAGATATGCCTCTATTTAAAAGTACTGGAATCTGGCTGGGTGTGGTGGCTCGTGTCTGTAATCCCAGTTCTTTGGGAGGCTGAGATGGGTGGGTCACCTGCGCTCAGGAGTTCGAGACCAGCCTGGTCAACATGGTGAAACGCTGTCTCTATAAAAAATACAAAAAATTGGCCAGGTGCAGTGGCACGTACCTGTAGTCCCAGCTACTCGGGAGGCTGAGGCACGGGAATTGCTTGAACTCAGGAGGCGTAGGTTGCAGTGAGCCAAAGTCATACCACAGCCAACAGAGCAAGACTCTGTCTCCAAAAATTTTTAAAAAATAAATAAAAGTACTGGAATAATACAGAGTATATTCTACAACTATAATGGAAATAAATTTGAAATCAATAACAGAAGACATTTTGGGATATTCACAAATATGTGGAAGTTAGCGCATTCCTAAATAATAAAAGGGTCAAAGAAGAAACCTTGGAGTATATTTTAAAATACTTTAAGGTGCATGAAAACGAAAACACCACACACCAAGTATAGGACGCAGGTAAAGCACCCACTTAGAGAGAAATTATGGCTGTCAATAACTACATTAGAAAGGAAGAAAGAAAAAAAAAATCAATGATCTAACCTCCACCTTAAGAAAAAGGTAAATTAAACCCAAAGCAAGCATAAGGAAAGAAAGATTAGAGTGACATAAAGTAGAGAATAGAAAAGCAATAAAGAAAATCAACAAAACCAAAAATTGGTTCTTTGATGGGCGATGTGTATGTGTTGTGTTAAAAAAAAAAAAGGAAGAAAGAAAGAAAAGAAAAAGAAACACCTTTTAAAAAGTTGGTTATTTGACAAGAACAAAAAATTGACAAATTTTTAGCTAGACTGACCAAAAAAAGAAAGGAAAGGAGGGGATCAAATTACTTAAGTCAGGAATAAAAAAGGAACCATTACTAATGACTTTCCAAAAATACAAAGGATTCTAAGGGAATACTAAGAAAAATTATATGTCAACAAATTAGATAACTTAGGTGAAATGGAAAAATTCCAATGCAAACTACCAAAACTGACTTACGAAGAAACAAAAAATCTGAATAGACTTATAACAAGAGATCGAATTCGTAATTTTAAAACTTTCCACAAAGAAAAGCCCAAGCCCAGATGGCTTCACTGGATAACTCTAAAAATATTTAAAGAGGAATTAGTATCAACCCTTTGCAAGCTCTAAAAAGATAGAAAAGGAGGGGAACATTTCTCAACTTATTTTATAAGGCCAGTATTATCCTAGAACTAAATCTAGAAAAAGTCATCACAAGAAAACTACAGACCATTATCTTTTATGAATATAGATACAAAAAATCCCCAATACAATACCAGCAAATAAAATCCAGCAACAGATAAAAAGCGTTAGACACCATGACCACATGAATTTATCCCAAGAATGCAAGGTTGGTTCAACACACAAAAATTCATCAAGGTAGTACATCCTCATAGTAGAATAAAAAACAAAACCCACATGATCATCTCAACAGACACGGAAAAGCATGTGGCAAACTCTAACTCTTATTATAAAAACACCCAACAAACTCAAATAAAAGGGAACTGCCTTAACCTAATGAAGGGCAACTATGGAAAATCCATTGACTAACATCATACTTAGTGGTGAAAGATGGAATGCTTTCTCACTAAAATGAAGAATAAGATAGGTACATCCACTCTCACTGCTTATAACCAGGATAATTAAACAATAAAAAGAAATACAAGCAACTAAACTGGTAAGGAAGAATTAAAACCATCTCTATTTGCAAATGACAGAATCATATATAGAGAATCTACTAAACAACTCTTAGAACAAACCAGTTCAGCAGAATTGCATGATGCAAGATCAACATGCAATGATCAATTACATTTCTATAAAGTAGCAATGAACAAGCAGAACTGAAATTATGAAAACATTTCCATTCACAATAGCATCAAAAAGGATAAAATACTTTGGAATAAATTTAACAAAGTCCAAAATTTGTCATCTAAAATTTTCTCCTCCCTTCCTGTCTCCCTCCCTCTTCCCCTTCCCACCCCCATTTCCCCACACACAGAAGAACATGGATAGGCTTCTAAGAACTACTTCATGCTTGAAAACAGCAGAGCTAGGGGTTGATTAGTTTGCTGTAGACTTGGCCACACTTGGTAAAGATGACGTACACACATGCACAGATGGAAGCATGACAGGAGGAAGCACAGCTGCAGGAATGAGGCGAAAGGAACGCGCGGCGGGCGGTGCACGCGCAGGGTACATACCCAGGAAGGACCGCCTGGGGGCGACCTTGACTTCTTCATCCTTGCTATCTGCAGCTACACGTTAAAAAGTGAGACAGAAACAGAAAGGGGAAAAAGACAGAAACAGACTGGTTTTAACGCAGGTCAACAGCTGTGTTCTCAGAACTTTTTGCATTTCTTTAAAAAAAAATAGAACAGAAAGATCACAAGATTTTGGTTTTGTGCATTAGAAAATCCACTTTCTGAACTATTTTTCTGCAAACCTAACCTCTTCCAACATCATAAAAAAGTGAATGGGGAGAATGGGAGAAAAATTGAGCCAAAAATTAAAAGTTACCACGTTTCCATTTAATCTCTCAGGAGAAAGGCAGCACGGAGCCCGCCACAAGCGTGCTGTGCCGATAGAAAGCAGGCAGACAGATCCTGCTCCCCTTTTCCTAGAAACTCGGCTGTACGCAAGCTTCGGTGGCAATACAGCTGCCCCAGGTCAAAGCCCTTCAGAAGGCTGCCTGATGAAGCTGTTTTCAGAGTACACTCTGCTGTAAAAGGATGGCTGGTTCCACATGTGCACTTGACAAGCACCTCTGCACAGACAGAGACACAGGGACAATGTGACAGGGACCCAGCACCCTCCAGGGCCCAGCACCTGCAATGACAGGTTATGAGCCAACCTCCCCATGTGCGCAGCCCCAGCACAAGACAGCAGCCAAGGTCCTGGAAAACACTGCAGCCTCTAGGTGGCTCCTGGGAAGCCCCGTGGGGTTTGGGATTGAAAACGGTTGATAAACAAGAGACTCAAATGAGTCCTGGGATCAGAAAGCAGAAGTGAGATCAAAGGTTGTGTGTTGCCTGCTCCAGACAATGTAGACTTAAAATGGAAATTTTGCAAGTGAACAGCTAATGGCAAATACAAGATGACCTCTAACCTCTGCCCTCTGCCCTCTGCTACTTGGACTTAGGGTGTTATTCCACTCACAAGGCAGGAACTGCAATATTTCTACCAAATTTGAGGGTTTTATAAACCAACGCAGCACACAAAGTGCAGTCTCCTCTCCCCCAGGCTCCCCCAACACTACCCTTGGATTCTATGTCCCTCAGCTCATCCCATCTGTTGCTTTGATTTAGACAATATCCTTCTCCACTGGTGCCTCTTCTAAAGACCAAGATCCGCAAGGGGTGGGAGGGAGGAAGGGAGGGAGGGATCACCCAAGGCAGGACTGCTCAGTCTACACTGTTTCCCTTCTCACATCCAGGTGTGACTGTGAACAGGCAAGGGTGAGAGGCAGCCAGCTGGCAGGCTGGGGAAGACGGCATGGTTCAGGCTGCAGAGGCTGGACCCTTCCACACCAGGCTGTGTCCTGGGCACACCCTCAAGCCACCTGGGCTCCTTGCCTGGAAAGCAGTGTGATCAGATCCATGTTTGTGTAGGACGGAATACAAAGAGTTCTGACGCTGAGAGAGCTGCCAGGAACATTTTCAACAGTCACACATTTCCACAAATCTGTGTTGAACACGTCCTCCAGATCAGATAAAAAGAGGGCCCAGCAACATCTTCCTTTTCCTCGACACTCGGCACTGGGAGGTGGTGTCCGTGTCTTCTCCCCTTGATCACAGGTGGGCTTGTGACCACTCCAGTCCACAGAAGCAATGCTGTGATTTCCAAGACTTAGGTCATAAAAAAGATACAGCTTCCACCTGCTTTCCCAGGAAGCTCCCCCTTGGGACCTGGCCATGTTGTGAGGAAGCCCAGGTCTCATGAGGAGGCCTTGGTGGGTGTCCCAGCAGAGCCTGGGTGGAGGTCCCAGGAGATGGCCAGCACCAGCCATGCCAAAGAGCGAATGAGGGAGAGAGAGAAAGCAAGAGAATGAGCTTCAAGGGCTGCAGCCCTAGCCTTTGAGCTCCCCAGATTGAGGACAGCAGAGAGCAGCTGTTCTTGCCAAGTTCCACCCAAAATGCACTCACGAGCAAAATAATTGTTGTCCTTCCAAGTCCTAAGATCTGGGGTAACTTGTGGAGTAGCCAAAGAGACTGGAACAAGAAAGACAGGACAAGTCCACAGGGCTGGCAGGAAGGAGGATGGCTGGGCCACAGAGGCCATCACCTGCGTCCTGGGACTTTGGTTCATGTCACGACTAGAGACCGCTTCTGTCAGCACATGAAGAAAGGTTTGCACCGTACCCTGTCGGTACGGCGTGTATTGGGGAGTGCAGGGGTGATAGTGACAGGGAGGCGCCAGCCAGCCTGGGACTAGGGAAGAGCACATGGTCACAGTGGCCCAGGCAAGCCCGCAATGGGAGGTACACAGGCAGACACAGGGATTCCTAATGTGACGTCCAAGAATCTCAATAAACCCCTGAAAATGCATGCAAGATGGCACACGACTCCTACATACAACACGTTTTCCAGGTTTCCTGAGCTATAACTAACTCACCTGTTTAAAGCATACAATTCAATGGTTTTTAGGATATCCACAGTTGTGCAAACACCATCACTATCTAATTTTACGACATCTTCAGCACCCCAAAAAAAACCCCTCGACTAACCAGCAGCCACTCCCTCTCCCTGGCCTCCAGCCTAGAACTCTGAGTGTTGAGATTTGGGAGAAATTTGAAGTAAATTAAACCACCTGACTTTGAGCCACAGACAATTATTTCTCAAATAACCCCTAAGAGGAACTTAAAAGGAAAAAAGTACATGATAAAACAAAGTTAAACTTTATAAAAGCAAATATTTAAAATGAAACAAATGACCCCATGTATCCAGTTGCTGGTGCACCCCTGACAAGGTGAGTTTGTTTCCAGGTGACATAACATGCAGCAGTGACCTGACCTCTGTCCCCAGCGGGAAGTGCCCTGAGGATGTGCAATCCTGAGCATATAAACCCCCACCCCCAATAAAACAAACGTTTTCAGTCACCGGGAGGCTGGTGCCGGCATGGTGACCCTCAGACTGCCGCACAGAGAGAGGACTAAAGGAGGCATGAGGATGCCACATTCCTTATTTGTGGGGTCCTTGAGGAAGGGAGTTGGTACAGGGCAGAAGGGAGGCAGACCTCAGGCTAAGCAACGCGGCCAGGCCTAGAGGTTTGAAGTAAAATGGGAAGAATTGGTGTCCACTCATGAAATATTTCACCTCGCCAAAAAACACTCCCTAGGTCCATCCACTGAAAAAGCCAAAAACTCAACCTGTAGGCCAACCCTCACGCACGCCCAGGCTGTGGTCTCCAAACACTGTGTCCTAGATACCAGCGCTCCTTGGAGGAACGACGGGTTCTAGGTCTGGGGCAGGAGACGTAGCTGCCACACAAGTACCTTGTTATACCACATCCTGTGTAGAGACCCCTCATGCTGGGTGGAAAGGGTCCAGCAGCACCTGACGCGGCTCCCCGGCCAGAGGGAAGAACTGGAGCTTTAACAAGTGTCATAATCCAGTAACCACCAAACGTCCACTTCCCATGTTCAGAATGACTCAGAAACATGCGCTCACCACTGCAAGATGCTAGGGAACCAACTTTGAAAACTGGTAAAGAGAGAGACCTGCATTTCCTTTATAAATTATACCTGTGGAAGCTGAACAATGGGTACCAGCCCGTTTCTCTGCAGAGGGGCTCCAGCTAACAGACCATAGTCACACTTTGCCGGGCGTGGTGGCTCATGCCTGTAATCCCAGCACTTTGGGAGGCCGAGGCGGGCAGATCACCTGAGGTCGGGAGTTCGAGACCAGCCTGACCAACATGGAGAAACCCTGTCTCTACTAAAAAAATACAAAATTAGCCGGGCATGGTGGTGCATGCCTGTAATCCCAGCTACTTGGGAGGCTGAGGCAGGAGAATCGCTTGAGCTGAGAAAGCGGAGGTTGCTGTGAGCTGAGATCGCGCCATTGCACTCCAGCCTGGGCAACACAGTGAGACCCTGTCTCCAAAAAAAAAAAAAAAAAAAAACAGACCACAAACATCCTGCAGCCCTGACGAGCTCACAGCCTCAACATGAGCCCCCCAGTGGCCGCTGACCACACACACCTCCTGTGGAACGATGCAACCATCCTGTGAAACACAAGAACCAAACCTGGATCTGATCGGGCCTCGGGGTCTATTGTTTTTTTAAAATGCTCTTTCACAGAAAAAGTCAAGGACAGAACACCTTTTCCTGTCTACACTCCAAGGACATAAAGACAGGAGGAAGCACCAGGAGTGCCATCTCCACTGTGGGGCTTCCCAAAACTCAGCCTGCAGGAGTAGTCAGCAATCTTGTTAAGATGCCGCTAATACAGACCACGGGCAAAGTCGAGAGGAGTTAAGGGAGAACCTACAGATTTTTAAACAACAAAAACATATATACTGCCAGGCACAAGGGCTCACACCTGTAACTCCAATGCTTTGGGAGGCTGAGGTGGGAGGATCGCTTGGCTAGAGCCCAGGAATTCAAGGCAATAATGAGCTCTGATACCACCACTGCACTCCAGCCTGGGCAACACAGTGAGACCCTGTCTCGAAAAAAAAAAAAAAAAGAAAAACCTGCAGGAAGGAGACCTGAATGCAACTGTGGGTCCCATCACCCCCAGGGCTTTATACCACCCCACCTACTTGATAAACACTTGAAATTCTCCATAATGCAAAGTGAATGGTAAAAAGAAATAACCCAGCACACGAGAGACAGGTGTGGACTCACTCCCAACCGCAGTCAGCCATGGCCTGGCCAAAGAGGCTCAGCTCTGCCCAGGGCACCGGCCCTGCCTTCCTCAGGCTGGGCACTCAGGGCCCTGTGGGTCATCTCCCTCCAGTGATGAGGGAGATGGGAGATGAGGGAGATGAGGGAGTGACCAGGACCCAACCCTGACTCACAACGAAAAGGGGCGTGGGAAGACGTCTCAGTGGAATGAGGGTTTCTTTTTAAAGTCTGATCACAATTTTGAAATTTATGCCAATTTTGTGAAAGGAGACTGTAGAAGAAAAAAGGAAGAGACTTGGAAGCATGCCACGGCGTTCAAAGTAGTCACCTCTGGAGGGTGGGGTGGAAGGTGGTTTTTTGTTTTGTTTTGTTTTTTAAGATGGAGTCGGCCGGGCGCGGTGGCTCAAG